CTTCCTTTTCATGAAAATGTTGCTCCTTTGTTGTTTTGATTTGAATTTCGAATCACTTGGTCTTTTTGCCTACAGGCTCAGAGAAGTTTTCTTGGATATAGTAGAATGTCTTTTTTTTTTTTCTCCCCTCTTTAATCCCCCCCACCCCTACTTTCACCCCTGACCTATGGATGTTGCCATTTCCCCTTAAGAATTGGATCTCTGAAGGCGCGTCTCCTCCCACACGCTCATGGCATGCACCCAGGGCCTGGGGCCCCCAAGGCCTGGCACTCTCGGCACACTTAGGGGGCCTGGCACACCCGGGGTATGGTCCGTGGCTCCACCTGGGTAGAATGTCTTAAAGTTGACTTTTCTGAATCAATTTTCACAGCTCCACAGTGTTTCTTTTCAATATGTGGATTTAAGATTTATTCTATTTTGTAAGTTTTTATTGCATTATAGCTTTTAACATTGGTTTTGATTTATTGTTTTTTCTTTAGAGAATTCAGTTATAAGTGTGTTAGATCTTCTTTGTCTTCTATAGCTATTTATTTTTTATTTTCTTTCTGAGGCTTTTGTTTTTTCTTATTTTAATTTTCTTGGACATTTTCATTTCACTTTCCATTTCTCCTTTGTATGCCTTTAAAATCTCTTCTTCTTTGTGCATCTTGTAATTTAGTTCTAATTTTTGAGATCTTTGTGTTTTCCTTTACTTTATTTTGTGTTCAGTCAATTCTTATTTCACGTTATTGTTTTGTGCTCACTTCTCTTTTGCATTTGTAAATTTGCTTTGCGCTTTTAAAAAATATATTGTTATTGCTTGTCTAGCAATATTTGATTCATGGTAGAGTGTTGTGCTACAGTTTCTTCTGCCTCAGGGTTGGGCTTGAGTGTTTTCATCAGCTGAAAAACTCTGATTCACATTTCCTTTTGAAAATAACTTTGTATGGATATTGGCTTTCTTTTTCTGTTTATTTTCAAGTCTGGATTTTCTCAACCAGGTGTTTCTACAGATGGGGGTGAACGATTTGAGTGGCTTACTAGTTTCTTAGTTCAAGAGTGCCCTCTTCAGTTGGTACAGTGAAATGCAACTTCTTTAATTAATAACATATTTGGAGGGTGGAGGTGGAGGGTTAAGGAGAATTTAGTGTCTTCGATTTCTGTAGGAATCTTAATTCCACCAACTTCTTTATTTTTCAGTCTTCATCACCAAATCTCCAAGAGATGTCTCCTTCTTCCAAGTTCCGTAGATCTCTCCCAAAAGCTTTACTTTCTCAATTATTACACGTTTAGACCCATGTACTTTCAAGCCCCTTCCTTTTAATTCCATTTGCAAGTGTTGTAATCCAGCATGACTGTTCTCAGTATTTCTCCACTTAAGTGTGGGAGGGACTCTCTGGGACACCATCACGCTTTCCTCTTTCCAAATAATCCCTGCTTTATTCTGTACTTCCACATGGGCTCCATAGCTCGTACTACTGATCTCGGATACTTACCTACTCATTAAAATAAAACAGGAGTCTACGGCCATGCCACCCTTAACATGCCCACTCTCGTCTGATCTCGGAAACTAAGCAGGGTTGGGCCTGGTTAGTATTCGGATGGGAGACCACCTAGAAAGACCATCTAGGAAGATCGGGTGCTGTAGATGTATAAAAATAAAATAAAATAGGATTTTGCAGTATTCCATTTCTTGATTATGTAGTATGATTGTATTGTGTGGTGAGTTAATTGTGACTTTATGTGCTGTCCTTCATCTGTACGGTTTTTGGAAGATGTGTAGACTCAGTTCAGGCATTATCTTCAATGGATCCTCACTATCTAGCTTCAACTGATAAATTATAAATTTTTAGATAAGACTTTTATATGAGCACTAGATAATCAGGCTGTTTTATTGGCTTCATATAAGGGAAACCACACAGTTTTTTATAGGTAAAATATAGAAAATGGTTCATTCAGGCCTCTGAGCAATTTTAGCCTGTACCCTCTTCTCCCTGACCTTGTTGGACTGACAGAAGCCATCCACATTGTGGTAGGTAACACATATGATCAATGTGCCCAGAGTAGTTAATATATCCTGGTGGTCAGCATGTCCAAAGTAGTCTGACATGGTCAGTGCACCCAGGATTGTTGACGTATATGACATAGTCAGTGGACCCAGAGTGGTCAGTAGATGGGAGCCATTACTGTGAGGACAGTGGCTGGTCCATCCTGACTGATCTAGATATGGACCTTTCATTCGATATCCCTGATTATTCCTTGTTGGGAAACCTTATTCTTTGCTCAGCGTGTATTGTTCTAGGATGGAGGAGTGCAAGGTTGTCAAGTCCTGATGAGACATGAGATATAATTTCTCCATAGAAGGCCTTTAGGCTTGTTAAAGGGACTCGCCCTAGGATCCTGGGCAGAAAGTTGGCTACAGGACTCAGTACTGCTCAGGCCCTAGCTGCCTCCAAGTGGCAGAGCTTTCCGCCCCAACTCCTAGCAGTTCTGCCCAAGGCCAAAGGTGCCTTGATTGCAGGGCCCTTGATTGGGTCTCTCTAGGTCTTTGGGTAGTGAAAGTCAGAATGAAGAACAGATGACTAATCATGGCAGTGAGCATTGGAGCTGAAGTCTTTATTCTACCACTTATCGGGTGGGTGATCTTGTACAAATAACTTAATTTCTCTGAGCCTGAAGTTCATCATCTGTAACTGGTATACAATGCTGTCTTATGGCCTGGTGCCACAGAGTAAACCCTCAATAAATTTTAACTTAGCATTTATTCACACACACACACACACACACACACACACACACACACACACACACACACATACGAACACACACATATATGTACACACACAGATGTATATAAAACACACATATAGTTTAGGTAGGTTTATCCAAGTATGGATGTGGTTTTTATTTAATTACTAGATGCTTACACATTAACTGGCTGAAATGAATATGCAAAAAATCTCCCTTGGTTGAACTCTAGGGTAAAAAACTCAAGTGATTTATATGAATAGGAGGTATTCTCTGATAAAGAGGAATTCTACATAACTATGCATTTTTATTGTCAAAGTTTAAAAATCCTCCCCTTCATACTTTTTCCCTTACATATCCTACCTCCTCACTTCATAGATATCTAGCCATGAAGATCCTCATTCCTATCTCCTGTGTCTCTAGCCCAGAAGTCCCACATTGGCTCAAACGAATATGCTGTTTGGCTTCTGCAAAAATTTAAATTGCAAACCTTTAAATGTAATATTTCAAATAAGAACAGGTTTCTGGTTTCTCTTAACAAACTGAATGACTGGGCAGCACTGGGCAGCATTCCTAAGGTGGTAATAAATGATCCAGAGCTCGGGAAGAGCAGTGCAGTCCAGTTCCTCATGGCCCCTGCCCCTCCCTACTGCCTCACACTCACCATTTCAATCATTTTTATTCTTGACTTCTCCCCCAGAAGTATTTAACTCCTTAGTACTGTTCCAACCATCCCTTTTTGTTGAACTCTATCATCACATCTTAGTCCAGACCTGTGCAGATCTGATGAATCGCTTTCTGGCATAGAATCTGTTCTGCTTACTGTGAACACAGTTAAGACCAGGTCTATAAAATTTCCCAACACAATCTTCTCTCTCCAGTCCTGCCTCACACCACTCTGGCCACCATCTGGCATACACATACCATTCTATCTGCTTGGGTTCCCTCTTTCTTGCATCAGTCAGCTCAGTTAGCTCTTTCTTCATCTCTACTTAGACAAAAGAATCACTCCCTCTGTATTCTCTCAAGTACAACCCAATGATTAATTCTAGCATTTATGTAGTTATGTAACCCTGTCCATCCCCTCCAGGAGACTGTGAGGAATTTAAGGGTAAAAACCAGGTCTTACTCATTTTTCCATCCCCAGAGGCTAAAAGTGCTTGATAAAAGAATCAAAATCATAACTGGATGACAGGATGTATTAGCCCATTTCTATCAGTGAGCTTAGGCTAAATTATGCTGTGCTACCAAACTACCCAAACCTCAGTGGCTTATAAAAGCAAAGGTTTATATTTTTATGCACACTAACATGAACTGGCTGTATCCCTGCTCCACATTTTCACTTTAGGCTCCAAGTTGAAAGAAAAGATCCATGAGACCGCCAGTCTCATTGCAAAGGGAAAGATTCGTGCACATGCTCTGGCTACTAAGTCTTCTGCTCTGAAGTGGCAGACTTCATTTATTCTCACATTCCATGAGCTAAAGCAAATCACACACCTCAGCATGAAGCCAATGGGGCAGAGATGTAAAGTCCTCCCAAAAGGCTTAAACTTTAAAACCATGGCCTGAAGTTTAATACAATTTACCACACTGCCATCATATCCAGTTCACCTTTCTAGGGGCGTGGAAACCTAAAGAACATGTTTCTCAGGCTCCTATGTCAGCTGGTTTCTGGCTGGATTCAGCTAATGGGAAGCCTGCACAGGACATAGAAGAGCTTGAAGTTGGAAAAAGCAGGGCATTTGCTCCCATGTTGCAGAGGACTTCTGCACAGGCTGTAGTTTTTTCATGGCTCCAACTCTCACCACACAAGCCTGCTGGGGTTTCTACTTCTGCTGAGTAGTCCTGGATGCTATAACTTTAGAGTCACATACTCTGACGCAGCCTCCTAATCTGTAGGATGTGATCTGCATAGGATGTGATGATGTGATATGCTCACATCATCCAGTTGTTTCACAAATAAAACTGAAGAATGTCCATGAAAATATGTGAAGAATAAAGTACTGGACAAATAAGGTGCTTGAGGGTATACAAAGTGAGACAACATGGTATAGTAGAAAAGGAGACTGGGGACCAGAACTCTCGGCTTCAGGATCTTGCTCTGCCACCAAATGTCATCCTAGCCAGGCAACACCATGTTCTCTATTTTCCCCATCTGCATATTGGAGATAATATTGTTGACAGTGGTTGCAAAGTGGCACGAATGAGAATATCTGTGAAGATGTATATCGTCAAGTGTAAAAAGCTCTACAAATGTTAAATGAATTCACTAGTTATAAGCAGAAAAAAATCTTTATTTCTATCAAATTAAAAAGTACGAATAATCTTCAAGCAAGATCATCAAAATAATCAATAACACAATTAACAGTTAGGAGAGCATTTACAGTTTAGGCTTAGATACTTTGAATTAATAAGCACATACACCCAAATCAAGAGGGCCGACAACTTTCACACTGAGGAAAACCACTGACTCATCGTAAACACACGACTTCTGGGAAAGCAGAGCTGACATTTCACAGGACAGTAAACCGGACAAGTTGTCATTAGGTTAGAGAACTGATTTGAGCTTGAGAGAAATCACAGTGAAATGCCATTATAACTCAACAATTTCCCCAGAGATCTGTTCATCTCAAAAAACAAGAATATATAAAAATCAGTAGTACAAATTCTCATAAAACTAGAAAAGCCCTCTACGCCCTGGCATCTTGGAGCTTATATAAAGACTAATTTTTTGTTTTTCTTTCCTTTACTCTTCTCTAAATTAAATGCAAATCAGTTTTGTTGTTGCTGTTGCTTAGTATGTTTTTGACTTTATAGCCAAAGCCTTAAAGTGAAGAAAGGTTTAATGAAATGGAGTTTGACACACACTAACCCCAGGGAAAATCTTCTATGTGCACTGCTCCTCTGAAAAGTTTTAAGACAGGAAACCTGTTATTTCAAGAATGACAACAGTGTCATTCTTGGAATAGCCTAATTATCACCAAGGAAAGAAGGCATATCCATGCCATCCACACAAGAGCTTTCTCCCTTTTTGGGAAAGTTTTACCATCTTTCTCTATCTCTTTTTCTCTTTCTTACACACACACTAGTCAAATTGGGGAATTCCCTGAAGCATACGGGTAATGGCATTTATTTTGGCAAGAACGGTGCAATTTGTTAAAAGAAAGATAAGATATGGCATTTATAAACAATTGTAATTATAACATGTCTCAACAGATGCAGGAAGCAGATTTTTCTTCATAGCTGAAATATGGCTTCGTGGTTTCCTGACATCTGGGTCTTGCACACTTCTCATCTGGAAACCAGACTGGGTCAGTTATATACAAAAAGGATGATAACTGACCACATGACCAGACCACATTTCCACATTAAAAGAAGTCTCCACTACTGAGTTCTTCTTTTGAGACAACAAACGGACAAGGGAGTTACTAAAACTGTAGGGGAAGAGAGAGAAAGCAATTCATACTGTGAATACGACTTTTTCTTATGAATTGTCTCTCTGGCAGAATTAACTGCAGCAAGGAAAACATCCTGTCTGTTAAATGAAAGGTAATAAAAGATATTCATCAGGTAGATATGGCTGCCTCCCCAAATCCTGTAACCCAGCAGAGTACAGATGAGACATAGCCCTCTGTATATCCAGTGTGCAACTACCACCAGGACCCACTGAGTGTCCATTTCCTCTCTCAGTATCAGAGTGCCAAAAGCAAAGATTCCAGGTGAGAGCAAATACATTGTTTTACCTATTCACAAGAATGGAGAGCTCAAACTAAAGGAAGGTACCAAAAATGTCCTTTTGAATTTCCTGATTAATCTCTATGGGTACGTGAAAACACAAGGTTACATGAACAGAATTATTTCCATTTTGAAACACAAGGAAACAAGAGAATTGAAATATCTATTACCTAGAGTAACTGTTGAAGATTCAAATAGGCAATGCATACAATGCACTTAGCACGAAGTATCACTAAACAGTTACTAAGAATGTCTTTACTGTAACACATTTGGAAATTTGTGATTTTTATGATTTGAGCAACGATCCTCTAACAGGCTGGTAAACTGTTTAGACAAACAGCTAAAGTCAAATATTGAACTCAGATTCCAGTGAACATTTTATAAAAGCCCTATTCATGAGTTTGCATAGGCATCTTTTCCATCTAACGTTATCACATCTCAACAACATTTTAAGTGTCAGGAAAAGCCACAACAGCACCTCTCTCACCCATGGCAATTCTTACCTTTTCCCTTTCCTACCAAAGAGTGGGGCAAAGCTGGGTGAAGCTAGAGCTCATCTGAGCATGGCTGCTGGAGGGTGATGGGAGTGACCCTGGGAAAGTAGGAATAAGGAAGAGGAGGGGAGGGGAGGGGAGGGGAGGGAAGACAAGAAGCCAGTCCTCCCTGGTTCTGCCAGAATTGTGCATGACAAGCGGTGCCACATCAGACGGCGGGCAAAGGCATGCATTTGGCACTAAGAATCATGTTAATGTGTAATGTAATGCAGGGAGATAGCTACCCTACATTAGGTGCTCAGTCACCATTGGTTCATCCGCCAGTACTTTAAGAAGGATCAGTTTATTGTCAGGTGAGAGCAAGGGAGTGATTTGTTCTGATCTCAGGAAAGAAAAGTAAGTACTATCTGGATAGCTCCCAGAAGCCCAGATATAAGTGTGAGCACCATGGCTGAGGGTGGCTCAAGGGTAAAAGGTCCCATCAGGGGCACAAAAACAAGGATACCAAAGGGCAGGTGAGGAACATGAGCTTGCCTCCTCCAGAGATTAGCCTGGACCCAAGCCGTCCTACTATGACAGCCTTTCACTTTATTTATAAACGAGTAGTAGTTACAGAGGAGGATCAAGGGCTCAGACTTTCCTCTAGCAGCTTCTTTTACTTAAGCAAAGAGGAAAAAAGAACAGTCTCACACAAAGCTGAATGTCACCATAGGAAAATCTGCTATTTTTGATGTGAGGCCACTTGTAAAAATAAGCAAAACCAAGCAGGCTCACAGCCTGGGTTGCCTGGGACAGGACACAGGTAGTTAACATCCAGGAGCAAACTCAGGCTGCAGAGTCAGGAAAACCTGGGTGTGAGTCTTGGCTACACTGTTTATTGGTAGCAGAAGCCTGGGCAAGACGCTTCCCATCTCTGACCTTGCCGTCTTTCTTCATAAACATGGGATCACAGGATGCTTGAAAGATGAAATGAGATGTCTGTAGCAGTCCTAAAACCACACATATCTTTCAGTAGGCCTTCGATAAGTGGGACCTATTTTTATGTTTGCCTTAGTGTTAAAGGGTACTAAACACAGCAACATTTTCAAATTCTAAGTGGGATGCCTGTCAGGATAATAGAAAGCAAAATGAATTCAGAGTTGGTAGAATCAAAGATTACGAGGACTGGTTAGGCAGGCGTCTTAGAGACCATCCAAACTACTCTTTCTGTGCAACAGTGAAGAAACTGCATGTGTGGCAATAGAAGAAAAACCAAGAAAAGCTATCACTTGAATTTTACTTTTGTCAAAATACTTTCAAGGAAACTTTAATTTTTTATAAAAATTATTAAAGGAAAAGTTAGAGTTTGTTGAAGAAAATCAGAAATAGATTCTTTAAACATGAAACAAGCAACATCTTTCAAAGACCACAGAGAAGGTGTTTATCCTTTATCAGTGTCACCTAGCAAAGGCCCCTCAGTTTCTGGGCAATCTCAGAAACAGCAAACATTGTTGAGACATATTGAGTGACCCTGATGTTGGCTGAAATAGTCTTTTTTGCTGGAAGGGAGAAGGGAGGGAAGGATGGAGAAGTAGAGTATGGAATCAAGGGTCAAGCCATTTCCCATTTCTTATACCTCTCCCCCAAACCACAAAGGCAATGGTTACACTGAAGTCACTCCCAGGAATAGTAAAGAATCCTCCCTGGGGATAATCATGATGCATGAAGAGGGAAATTTATTTTTAAGGCAACAGGAATAAATTTCGTTATCTTTCCCAGAGGAGAGCAGGAATTTTACAAAGTGGCCACCAAGTCTAGAAACCGAGCAAATCCTTAATAAATGGTTTATTGATATTACATTATAATGAATCACAAAATAATACTACCTATATTTCTAGACTTAATGGCCACCCTATAGAAAGAATCTTTGGAATAGAAAAAAAAAATTAGATTTTTGTTTTCTCATCATTGTAAAGCTGTCATACTTAGTCTAGGCACAGTTAGTGCAACATGTATCCTCAACCCCACAGGCTCCATTCCCTTTACCAACTACTTATAACATGCCTGGGTCACTCACAGGAGAAAAATACTGTCAGCATCAACATTTAGCAGCATTTTCAAAATACATTTTTGTCTTGAATATCAAAAAGCTAAACTGTTCTTTCAGTCCGGTAATTCCATATGGTCTTATTACATCTATACATAAGATATTACCTTTTAAGACTTATGTAGGTGAATATTTCATTTTTTTTTTCTTTTTTCTTTTTTTTTTTTGAGGATTTCCAAAAGACTCTGGGGATTTTATTTTTCTACAATGAAAGAAAGGAGCGGTGCCCACCCATGAGAGTCAGACTAGTTTACGTAGACCCTCCACATCCGTTCCTGGTACATGAAGTGATCTGATATCGTCTCCTAGCTCTCAGCTCTTGGAAGGGAATTTCAGAGGGACAAAAGCAATTACCTAATAGCCTAGAGAGGGAGAAAACAGGTGTAAAAAAATAGTCTAATAAAAATAGCAGAAGCTGAATCCGTTCATTCTAGGATGTCTGAAAAGGAGAAATTCTATGCAGCGGGGATGCAGAAAAAAAGGTGTTTCACCCCTAACAGAAAAAAAAATTGTGGATACAGTCACTCGAAGTCAGAGAAGCAACCACTAAGAGCAACTGGCTTCAATTCTGTTGTCACCAGGGGGATGCATACCAGAGAACGGGAGACAAAGGGTGGGCTACAGCCCTTGGCACTCTCAGGCCTACTGGTGCTATGGTTCAACAGTCTTTAGGACATGGAGAGTATCAGAGGCCACCACCATCAAGTGTAAAAAAGCTACTATGGCAACAGCACGACTGTCAAAATTCAGCGAGAGCTTGGGTTACACACCATTTGAAATCCAGCCTGTACTTGCTTTCTTGTGAAGGGCTTGCTTGAGACATAGACAGAGACATCTTCGATGCGTGCAGGCAACCCTTCTTTTGAGGCAGAGAAGAGCCTCTTCATTAACACTTTCTATCATTAGTTTTCATCAGTTTACCATTTAAACTAGAAAAGATGCTGCAAGCTACCTCGGCTAGTTTCTAATTGGGACATGGCACCAATACTAAACATACAATTGAAAAAATCACATCTTCTTAGTTCTTCCACTGGGAGGGCTCAGTATGCTTCTTTGGATTGAATAGGTGCGATCTTGTTCGAGAAAAGCGTGTAAACATAGGGCCAGATTTTGTTAGTTTCCGTTCCAGAAAATTGGTGGAGGACTCCTCGGCTCCTGGAAAAAAAAAACAAAAAACAAAAAAAAACAGTCCAATGCAAAAAAGCATTTTACATTTCCTTTTGACATAATGTTAAGGCAGATGAAGATCCTGCGTATAAGGCAAGCATGATCTCATGGTCTGTATCACACAACACTAAGTGCCAAACAGCCCCTTCAAATGTATCAACACTCCCCACTGGGTATATCTAAATAAAGCCATAGTTTTTGCAATTCTGGCATGCTTGTCATGATGACACCTTTTCTTCTCAACTTTACAGTGTATCAAAGAACAACATTATTCTTTGGGGACAATCCCAAACCTGCCACTACACACTTTTGAAAAACAAATCATTCACAAAATTTGGAACTCTAAAACTCTTATTACTTATGATGATCACGAAATACAGGATGAATCACAATTATATGTACAGGAACCTCTGACCTAAAGGCTTGCTGAATTATTTGGGGGCTACAAGGTCAGAAAATGGATTATAGCAGAGGTTGCAAACTGCTGTTCTGAGTGCAGGTTTTGTTTGGTTTGCATGCTTCTAAAAATTTTGTAATTTGTTGCCAATATAAAAACTGAGATTTTTTTCCACACAGAGAGCCAGATTTCTGCTTCTCTTGAAAAACAGATCACAGGTCACATTGAGCCTCAGTGCCCCTGTGGTGATAATTAGCTGGAGCAGCATAGGAGCTGTCCAATTCAACAGTCACTCAAGTGCCCAGCTTGACACACCCCACATCAGGTTTAACACTCATTTGCAATATCTCCCTGGCCCTTGCAGCCATTTGAATGTGCAATCTTCAGCTTATAGTTTTAGCTTTTCTTCTGTTAAACACCCTCTTGACATATCTAGGCCAAAAAGTCCCTTCTAAACTATCTAAATAAGACATGCGGGGGTGTCAAAATGTAAATTATTATCTCAGCCACTTGAAAAGCAAAATGGAAATAAGTCTAGGCACAATTTACAACCAAACAGACAGAGATGATAAAGTTTCAGAGCTTAAGAGAGTCTTAGCATAAAGTGCTGGGCGTTATCTCCCAAAACAATTCAAGCATTTCATCCCACTTCTGGGGAGGCCTCGGGCCTGTAAAGCTTATCTTAGCTGAAAGAATCACTACCCCATCTCAGCCCAAGGCCCTTCCCACTAGGTTCCACTCCTTTCTTATTGGCCATCTGCCATGAAATGCTGATACACACTCACTTGTACAGTTCAATGACCGGCTTTGCCACATCCTTGTACTGTCTTAGCCTGGCAGCAACTGCTTCAGGTTTATCATCCTCCTGCTGGACTAACGGTTCACCAGTGATGTCATCGACCCCCTGCAAATACCAGAGAAACCAAATGGGCGACAGCTGGGCCATTCCATAGGTAAAAACTTTCCAGTGCAAAACTATGTATTCATTTTGATTCCTGCTACATGATGAGTTAGGCCTGGTGACAATAGTAATGGTGAAGATACTTAAAGAAATGGCACTCTTAATAGCATGTCAATCTTATTTCATGAAAGCAGACATTAAACCTTTATTAACCTCTCGGGTTTTTCCAAACTTGTTGCAGGGCTATTGATAAGTGGTATCTTCAATTCACAGTTTAAATTTCCATGCAGAACCCCCCCACTCCGCCGAAAAGCAACCTTTAGACAATGTCACACTGGTCCTCTAAATATTCCTAAAACTGAACTGCTTTCTAAAGCCTGAGTTATTAACACAGAAAATAAAAGTCTCAAAAACCCAACTGGTTTACTTAGGAAAAACACTAATCTAGAAGAAAATATTTCAATACTGCCTCTGTCTATTTCTAAATTCTATCATGTAGCTTTTCTGAAATTGATCTTACTCAGGTTGTTTTACTAAATCAAATGATGACTTATCTAAAGGTGGATTAAAATAGGCATGAATCATATACACAGGATAATCAGGAACAAACATTCTGAGCACTGAAAAAGATTCATTAAAAAAAAAAAATCTGATTTTAGATGTATCTTACTTAACCTCCTCAGGAACCATACTTACAAACAGCAAATTGGACACAGCAGAATTCTGCCTGCCATGTCCATGGCTATTACCCTGACACAAGAGAGATGAAGATGGGAGAGGCTGGACATCATCCACCCCCTTCCTTTATTTCACTTGTGGCTGCAAAGCTCAGAAGTTTTTTCCAGGACGTCAGAGTTCCAGCAAATACAACTGCTTTGAGAAAGAGCAGATGAGGGTTGGGCGACAGCGTCATCCTTCTGGGGGAGCTGGGCCATAGAAGCTGGTTGAGTTGGCCCTTTTACTGCTGTCTTTGGAAGCAGCAATATAATTGCAGGTGTTCCTTTAAGAGAACCCAGTCTTTGGAAGGCAAGTAGGCAGGTCAGTGTTAAAGCTTCTCAAATTTTATGAGAATCTTTGCAAAAGCAGGTCTAGGCAGAGCCAAAATGTGAATGAGGCATTAGTGCTGGACTTCAGTGCATATTCAGAGCCCTCCTTTCCTCCCAGTCATTTTTTTTCCTATAGTAGCTTTTTGGAATGGAAAGGAGAAGAGACCTAATAAAGGAATTTCGGGACTACTTACATTTTTTAAAAAAAGGCTTCGAAAGGAGACCAGTGCTCAGCCAAAATGAATAAGACATTGAAACTTTACTGAACCTATAGCACCCAGGAGCTAGGAAGGCATCCCTCATGTTCATTGCTAGGTTTGCTTTTTTAAAAGAATATTAATATTCCATATAAATAATAAAGATGAAAGTACCATTTTTCTCAAATCCCAACTAGCAATCAATGTTTATAAACTTTGCATTCCTTGTGAATGAAAATTTTAAATATTTGTTGGCTATATATATTTGTTCTTTTTGAACAGTGTCTTCACATCTTTTTCCTACTTTTCAGCTGAAATGTTTTGCTCTTTCTTGTCAGTTTGTGAAGGTACTTTGTATATTCTTACATGTACATGAGGTGGATTGAAGTCCAAGTTATACACCCTCCCACTAGGAGGGTGGATCCAACGCCGGCTGAGACGATCTTTGAGTGTTTCGAACGGAATGTTCAAAGTGATCACTAGATCCAGGTCACAGATTCTGTCCAGGGCTTCAGCCTGAACTAATGTCCTAGGGAAACCTAAATGCCAAAACAAAACACAAGACATTTCTCAATTCCAATTAGATGCTGAAATATTATCTACCTCCAGAATTTAATATTTGAAGAAAATTTGCTACTTTATAATGTGGTTCCAGCATTTGGAATACCCAAAGGTTAAGGAATTGCATGATAAAAGAATAAAGTGCATGAAACGAAAAGTCAGTAGACTGTTCCTAGCTCCAGTCTTGGCTCTGCTCTTAACTTTACCTGTGTGACCTTAGGGAAGTCATGGCACCTCCATTTCCTCTTCTGTTAAAGAAGCAAAGGGTCAAAATTATATTTGTGTCTTTTTTACTCTAAAAGTTTATTATTCTTAGGTTACCACAGAAAAAAATTATATATGTATATAATTATGAGAGTCAAAATCAATTAAAGTAGGATCCTTCACTCAGGCTTCATCTGAGCCTGTACCCTGAGGTGGATAAAAGTCCAATCTCAAAGAGCACTGGTGCTTTTAAACCTGTTTGGATACTGCAAAAGTCATAAATTCAGCCTGGTTTTCTAAATGTGGGAAAATAAACAGCAAAATTGAAAGTTTTATTCATGGGCATCTCTTCTTCCTTTTTTAAAGTATAAACTCTAGGTGGCTTCAGGAGTTAGGGTGACTCCAAATTAAATTTTTCCCCCAGGGATTGACCTGCTTTAAATGTATCTCTAGGTTTGGCTGAGGTAGGACCACACGGTAGTGTATTTTTCCTCACTAGATCACTTCAGGTTGTCTGCTCTGCTGAAAACCTTACTGTATCTAATATTACCTTTTAAAAATATCTTTTAAATCTTAGGTAAAAGAGTCAGGTGAATGGAGACCTAGATGGAAAGTATAATAGGAAGTGCAACATTCAGAAAAAGAACTTTTAAATCACTTTAGATAAGGACACTAGCCTATCTCCACCCTTTTGTCATTGAAGTATCAAGATGACAATGTAAAGATGGGTCTTCAGAGACCTAAAACACTCAACATTTTCCTCTCACAGGAAGTCAATTGCTCAACCATAAATGAACATGAATGTACTGCACTCTATGTTGAAATCCCAACGTGGTATAAATGGCAAGTTGATTTCAGAGTGCTTATTGAATTACATGTGACAAAATTCACCTAAAGGTCATCTCTATGCTTCGGGTACCAACAACTGCTGAAAACTCTTCTCTAATATATCCTTCAAAGCCTTTCTTATTATTGCCTGTCCATGAGGCCAGGACCCTCTCACCAAAGCCCATCCCTCCCAGGGTCCTCATGTATCACTTTTTCCATAAAGCAACAGGCCCCTCTTGCCCAGGACTCTGGGCTAAGTCATGGATGAGATTCCTGATTTTCCTGGGTCATGAATGTTTCCCAGTTGCAACTCAACTCACCCGTTTCTACAATTTCACTCTTAAGCTACCCATAATACCATTTTCCTATCTACATTTCCCTAATTTATTCTTCTTTTACTATCAAATAACATAAAGCCCAAAGATGACATTGGCCACATCAGCTTGCTTTCAGTATTACTCTCTAGAGGCTCTACTAGCTCCTTTCTACCTTTGAATGTGTCCAGGATACCTCTGCCTCAGGGCCTTTGCACTTGCTGTCCTCTGCCCAGAATGTTCTTCCTGCAGATATCTGAATATCTGACTATTATGTGGGGTATGTGCATAAATGTAACTTCTTGGACTAGTATATTTTAAAATAGCTCTATTCCCCTCTCATTTTCTATCTTATTATTCTTTTTATTTTCTATTTATTACTATAAAAAATTTCTTAGTATTTACTTTCTATCTCTACCTCACTCTCTGATAAAAGAGATTCTGTCTTGACCACTGCTATTTACTTTTTTAACTCCTAAAAAACTGACAGAGATAAACGATTTAGAATATGGCCTTATTTCCAAAGTTTATGCCCCGATGAACATGCAAGTTCAATCAAAAGTTGCAAGTCCATCAGAAATTATCCATTCACTATATTTTACAAAATTCAACATGTGGTCTGCAGTCCAGAACGAGTCTGAGCTGTATTAAGTACAGAAACAAGAAAAAGCATTTAGGAATTTTATAGCAATCCTACAGAGTAATTTTAAGTCTGTTGAATATAAAATTTGGATTTGAATGTCTTTTTGCCCCTTTAATTTTTCTAGTAATTTGTATTTTATTGTATTTGACAAGAGGATTGTTCTGCAATAGATTAGGGAAAAAATAAGACTGGACTTTCACTACAGATAGTTTGTTCTAGGCTTCCCTTCGAGCTTATTTTCTAATTTCTCCAATAAGAGAAACTACCCATGGCCCCAGTATCTAACTTTTGATGTGTATTACAGAAGGGACATCAATTAAGTTGCATCTGTTTCCAAAAGGACACAAAAAGAGAGAACCAAACCTGGGGCACGTATCAACTCTATTCTCACGGGAAAGACAGAACAAGTTCAAACAGAGGTGGGAAAAGGCTTATCTTGCAGGTTACAACTCATTTCACTGGCTATCACATGCCTAACCCAAGGTATACACGTTCCCAATAGGCAAAAGGGTTATTCCAGTGTTACAGATAAAATCAGAAGAACTGCTTCACATTCTCATAGCTGTCTTCTTATGATCCATTTGCACTCAGGCTGGTTTCAACAGAAAAACTCAATGCAGAAATTGGTATTTCTGATCTTGCAGTCCAGGCTCTTGTGCCAACAAGCACTCAGCCATCTTTCCTCCCACACTGACTCTGGCTAAGCATCCTCTTCACATAAAGGCACCCAAATGTTGGAAAATTATGCTGGAAAGTATGCTCATGGTGATTTTCTTTTGCAATAAAAAGATGGGTGATCTCTTTTTACTCTTCTACAGTTTCTAATTTTTTCTAATTGAACATATAGTATTTTCAGAATGGCAAAAAAATGCCTTAAATAATCACTGACTACTAGATTTTTTTCAGATCTCAACAGAATTTCTATTAGATCAGGTTACGACTACTTGACATTTGGGGGAGTGAAAGGTCAAATTGTATTTGCCTGAGATCAAGCACGCCATAGAAAATTTGGCCTTAGCCTTGGAAGCCGGCAATTCCCGGCACATAGCTGGCAAACATTGAAGTGTAACACTAGGATAGTCATCTTCTAGTTTTCCATTCAGTGACCATACTTATTTGACCAGCTTGCCTTATTTTAAAATCCCAATTTAATTCTACGAAATTATATGACTCTTTTAAGCTCTGCAAACTCAATATGTAACGTTCTATTATGGAATGGCTTGATTGCTTTAATAACAATTTATTAAGCAACTTTTCATTATTAAGTTCAAAACCAAACTGAATATTAGAATTGGGGCTTTATAGCACCTGGTGCATTCTTGAGCCCCAAATATATGATAGCTACCAGGTAGATAACAAGGTGACCAAGGAACAAGAGTTGGACCTGTGTGTGATCCCTCAGGGCTCAATTCAGTCTATGCCTTCATAGATTGGGGGGCGGGAAAAAGTCTCAGAAGAGTCCAGACAAAGCCATGCCTCCTTTATCTTTCTAATCAAATACCTTTTGAATACTACACACAACCTCAACTAGATTCTTTCCTCTGCCTTCCTTCCCCCAATAGCTCACCATAGACCAAACTGGGGATGCTAGAGAGAGAACCTTAGGAACAAGCCTGGGCACCATGCTAAGTCCATTAGCTAACACTAGCCTAACCTCCCCTACGCTGTGCACCAGAGTTTGGCCTAGATAAGCTTCCTGAGATGGGAATTTAAGCTGTGTCTCACTCCCCTTGCTATCCTCAGGTACTGTGCCTGGCACGTTCTACACTGAAATCCTAGCAAATAGAAGAGGTATACTTCCCACAAAAAGGCACTCTCCCACTAATTGCCAGGTCCTGCCTTTCCCTGTAAAACCCACTCTTCACTAAAGCTTCAAGAGGACAACTGGAATTAGAGAGATGGCTGCAGCCAAAATAAGCCCAAGATCAATCTCTATGCACAACCCCCAAAACCCCTTTCAAAAATAGCCATTTTCTGAAGCAGTAGCTTCCAAAGTGACCCTCACTGGAGCACAGAAGATAATAGAATTTCTATTTATTTTTTGCTCATTCCTGTTAAGCTTCTATTTGAAAGCACATTTTAACGTATATATTAATAAAATTGTATACACACATGATTTATACATAACTATCTATAGAACGAAGATGAAAACTAAACATTTTTACTGGTAAGCATGCACAAAGAGTTTTAGAGATCACATTGCTAAAGACCTGAGTTCTCAGTTACAGTCTCTGGCCTTATTTTCTAGCATCACTAGTCACTATTCTGACAAGAAAACGCTGTTCTTTATCCTTCGGATAGAGGTTGACAGCTGAAAAAAGTAGGAAAGAATAGAGAGTTCTAAAAGAAAATATAACAGTTTCTCCAACAAATAAAAGCTCAAATCTTATTGGCTAATGTTTCCTTATTTGATAAAGCTACAAGCCAGTCTTCTCAGCTTCCCAACTGTTTCTGAATTTGGGGGCCCTCTGGAGGAATGGGTGGAAAATGCAACTGTGTACAAAATAAACTGAACTCAGAACAGATTTCGAAAACATATTGGGTAGTGCCCATCTACTAGGCTCTCACATTCAGACCTAATAACCACAGAGAACAATTAATTCTGGTGACTTAGAGGTCTTATCATATTCTCCTACCCTCAAAGTAGGTTAAAGTTGAAAGAACCATGGAAAATACAGAAGTCTATGAATAAAGTTAAAATGGAATTTAGTTTTAAGATATTTATATTGTTGGAGTGCAACCATTTCAATAGTTTAGAAGTACCAACAGCAGAAATCAGTCATTCCACAACTTCAAGGGTTCCCCATCTGATAGGGCACATCAAAATTACCAGGGAAAAGATAAAGGGGGAAAAAGGTTATAGGTACCAAATTTCATCTCAGGCTTCCTAGAATGGAACATTTAGGCACAGGATCAGGACTTGGATATTTTAGAAAAAGCTATGCAGGTCATTCTAATATTTCCCAATTGATTAAGAACCACCAAACTT